CCAACTACGCTACCGCGTGCCCCCATATATATATATATATATATGTGTGTGTGTGTGTGTGTGTGTGTGTACGGCAAAGTATAATTAGAATGATCAAGTCAAGGAGGATGAGGTGGGCAGGGCATGTAGCACGAATGTGGGAGAAAGAGACCACTGGGAAGATCAAGGAGTAGGTGGCTGGGCAATATTAAAACGGATCTTAGAGAGATAGGATGGGATGGAATGGATTGGATTGATCTGACTCAGGATAGAGACCAGTTGAGGGTTCTTGCGAACGCGGTAATGAACCTTCGGGTGCTGTAAAATGCTGGGAAATTCTTGAGTAGCTGCACAATTGCCGGCTTCTCGAAAAGGGCTCAACTCCATAGGTGAGTGAGTGAGTATACAAGGCAACCACAAGCATCACGGATACCCAAGAACAAAATGTCACACATGTAAAATGCAAACTGGTTTCCACTTCATGAGCTTGGATAATAACGAAATCAGAATACCTGATAATATTGTGGCGTACAGACCCGTTCCTAAGCAATGACTCTGTAAACAACGGCCGTTGCTAGATAAGGCCCGCAACATACACGAAAGCAACAACAGAACGGGATTATGCACCCGATTCTAAACAACGGCTCGGCAAACACGTTCTCGCGGAAACGAATACATACGCAACAATAAAAGAATGGTGTTTTCGATGCGGTCTGATCCGAGGCTATATAGCGAGGGCCCCAGGCCGGTTGAGTGCAGTTCAGTTGAGTAAAGTGAAGTAAAGTAGTTGGTTGGTGGTGTCAGCTGAAAGCCATCTTGTGAAGAGAAGACTAGAAGGTTAGTGTGAAACGGCCACCATCTTTGGATCCAGTTAGTTGAGGGCTGGCAGGTGAGTGGATCTCTGCAAAGGGGGCTAAGAAGAGATGGCACTATAGTTCAGTTGACAGTTGACAAGAGTTCAGTTGCGAGATATTCGTGGACAGTAATGATGTGAAAGCGGGAAGCTGAAGAATCTCCACTTTTAGAAGCCGTTGCTCGGAAACGGTAGTCGAAAGTCGGCTTGGAAAAAGACTTAGTGGGTGCTGTGATGATTTGTAAAGTGTGGAGACTAGCGATAGCGCTGTAATTACCTGTAGTTCCGAATGATGTATACAAGGGTGTCAATAAATCCATTCATAAATCCATATCCAATCTACAGTCACATATAAACAGTAACAATATCTTGCTTATGAATACCAAACACTCGATCCTCGGTTTAAATTCTGCGTAACCACCATTCGTAAGGAACAAAGTACCCATACGTGTATATCCCCAACTGAATAATCTAGGAAGAGTCGCTAAACCAATGTTAAGAACGCATTAAAAAATATACTGAATTTATGAATACGTATTGAAAATGCAGTCTGTTTGGGCTGCTCATAGTATATGTAAACTTCTAATTCGAACAGAGAAAAATTCTCGGTTGGAAACTTATCACGTTGGCCTATGTGTCAACGTGCTTTTAGACAACATAAAATTTTGTCGCCTGGAGGGAATAAAGGTTAGGTTTCCGATAAGCACAACAAATTGAACTAAGTTATTCTATACTCCTGTTTACATTAAGTCGACTTTGATCTTTTGTTGGAGACCAAGACAAATTCTTACTTTTCATTTAATGAAATATAAGAACCATGAGTATATTTTCGGGTTATGTCCTTGCTCTCGAATATATATGTAACTTTATCGTGCATACTGTATATTGATTTCTTTACAAATGTAAATTTCACCAGTATAATTATTCCTCGGTACCCAGTACTTCAAAAGTACCAAGCAGGAAATCAGGATACTTTGATACTGTCTATTTCCAAGATTATCTTGATGCGTAACATTATTATAATTATGTTAAAAGTAGATGTTATATG